TGAGTTCACTACCCCACCACACAGAGACTTGTGCCTCAAAATCTAACATTTCTTCTTGAAGACACTGTATGAGCACTTAAAGTGTGTACATGTCATGCTTTTGAAGAAACTTTTCCAAGCAGAAACCTAGCATAACCGCACCAATAAAATCTGCCTAAGCCTGCATGCAGCCTAAAGCAACTGCTGTAGATTTGTAACAAAGCGGCTTGTACGTCACTGAAGAGCAGTTAATTAACCCACCTAACGTGCTTCCCTTGCAAATGCCAACTACCCCAACAGTTTAACAAGTTCCAAAGTTTCGCTCTTTCCTGTCAGGTCACCAAGATATTTATCCTTCCTCCCTAGTGTAGGAAATATATACTGTTACATGGATCAGAGGCAGCACTTGACTTAGGTGTAACTTTAGAAAGTGAGAGCATTATGGTCAGGGGAATGTTTTCTAATGCAATATTCTTAATAGTTTATTCAAGCACTCAGGGAGGTATGGCAGATGACGTTCTCCTGGAATATCATAACCTCAGAGTGAGGAATAGGTATGCAGGAGGTGTCACCCTTGGCTACTTTTCATTCTTCCAACATGTCCAGCCTGGAGAATGATCTCCTGGCACTGCTAAACAGATGTGAAGGCAGAAACAAGATGTTTCAGGAAAACTGTCATTAGAAGAAGAAATGTACAAGGGCTTATGACATGTGAGTGTTATAGCAGGAATTTCCTTCAGCCCCTGGAGTTTGCAAATTAGTTTACTTTGTTCTATGATTGGTGCTTGGGACTTATGCTTTGGATTCCTCTGTTTGAGAAATCAAACATGGAAGTCTAATTGAATCCAACACCAACATTCTTTTGTCTCCAAGGTCACCTCTTCAAGGATCTATAATCTTTGTTTCCCCTTCAGGGCCGGATGAACTGCATCTGGGAGTACTCAAGGAACTGGCCGAAGAACTCTCAGAATCGTTGTGCATTATTTTCTTGAAATCAGGTGAGGTGCCTTAGGATTGGAGGAAGGCTAATGTCCCTATCTTCAAAAAGGGCAAAAAAAAGAGGAACCTGGGAACTACATGCCAGTCAGCCTGACATCAATCCCAGGCAAAATTCTGGAACAGATCATAAAGCCAACATTGTGCAAGCACCTAGAAAACAATGCAGTAATAACTAGAAGCCAACATGGATTACTCAAAAACAAATCCTGCCAAATTAATTTAATCTCATTTTTGATCAGGTAAACTCCCTGACAGACAGAGAGAATGCTGTAGATGTGGTATACCCTGTTTACTCGAAAATAAGACCTAACCTGAAAATATGTCCTACCATGATTTTTCAGGATTCTCGTAATATAAGCCCTACCCCAAAAATAAGCCCTAGTTAAGTGAAACCCTGCCCTCCACCACTGTGCAGCATTGTGCAGCAACCAGAAGATGACATGACTGTATTTGAATAAATGTAGATTGTTGTACATGAAAAAAAAAATAAAACATCCCCTGAAAATAAGCCCTAATGCATTTTTGGAGCAAAAAAATAATATAAGATCCGGTCTTATTTTTGGGAAAACATAAGCTTGACTTCAGGAAAGTTTTTGACAAAGTGCCCCATGATACCCTGATTAGCAAGCTAACTAGGTGTGGGCTGGATAGACCAAGTGTCAGGTGGATACACAATTGGTTCCAGAATCATACTCAGAGGGTGAGGTCCTTCTCTAATTGGGGGGATGTAACTAGTGGGGTACCCCAAGGCTGAGTCCTGGGCCTGGTGCTCTTCAATATTTTTATTAATTACTTGGAATGCCTCTCAAATCTGCAGATGACACAAAATTGGGTGGACTAGCTAATACCCTAGAAGACAGAAACAAAATTCAGAATGACCTTGATAGGATGGAGCACTGGAAAGCAACAGAATCAAATTCAACAGGGATAATTGCAAAGTACTGCACCTCGGAAAAAGAAATCAAATGCACAGTTACAAGATAGGGGATACCTGACTCAGCAAAACTATGAGCAAGAAGGATCTTGGAATCGTCGTAGATCACAAGCTAAATATGAGCCAACAGTGTGATGTGGCTACAAAAAAGGTAAATGTTATTTTAGGCTGCATTAATAGAAGTATAGTTTCCAAATCCCACGAGGTGCTAGTCCCCCTCTATTCAGCACTGGTTAGGCCTCACCTTGAGTATTGTGTCCAGTTCTGGATACCACACTTCAAGAAGGATGCTAGCAAATTGGAACGAGTTCAGAGGAGGGTGACAAGGATGATCAGGGGGCTGAAAACCAAGCGTTATGAGGAAAGGCTGAAAGAATTGAGCATGTTTAGCCTTGAGAAAAGAGAGGAAGTGATATGATAGCACTTTTCAAATATATGAAAAGCTGTCATACAGAGGAGGGGCAGGATCTGTTCTTGATTATCCCAGAGTGCAAGACATGCAACAATGGGCCCAAGTTAAAGGAAGCCAGATTTCCATTGAATATCAGGAAAAATGTCCTAATTGTTAGAGCGGTATGACAGTGGAAACAGTTACCCCGGGAGTTGGTGTATGCTCCAACACTGGAGGCATTCAAGAAAAACTTGGATAATCACCTGGCAGATATGCTTTGATTGTATTCCTGCATTGAGCAGGGCGTTGGACTTGATGGCCTTGTAGGCCCCCTCCAACTTCACTTTTCTATGATTCCATGATTCCCCTGGTCACAGCGCCTTATGAATTAGGTTATCTGTTTTCAGTTTCCAATTTAAAAGAGCAAGACATGAAATTAATTAATCATGTGAACCAGATCTCATAATCTCTGCAAGTTAATATGATTTTTTTTGTCCACAACCATTTTCCTCAGCTCCCTTCCAAAAGGTTCATCCCACCTAGAATAGACTCCTTGAATGAACGGGCCTTATTAGTCACCACTGATGTAAGTCCTTTGGATTTCAACATATCTGCTCTTGAAATGCTGGATTTCAGCCCCAACACGGTGTTCTTTCACTTTTCTTCCAGCTAGATCAGTGGTACTTGAAGTCATAAATCAAGTATGAATTATGGCGGCTCACAATGAGCTAACCCTCCCAAGTGCTTGGCACTGTGACCTCCCCTTTTCACAAACCATCTACCAGGATTTTCTCTTGCAGTGAAATTAAGAACCATTGCCCTCCTCCTCATGTCAGTTTGTCAGATGATGGACAGAGGGTTGTTTGTGCCTACGTGTTTCATGTCTCTGGCTTTTGATGGCTGAAAACACCTGAAGAAACTTGAAACACCACAGGAATCCTGCCATTTTTCACCATTGCTAATCATTTTCTCCCCCTTTTGGCATCTTAAGGACTAAAAAGTTTTATTAGAGGTAGGCATGTTAGCCTTTCAGATTTCACCAAGCTTTCCCTTGGTTTTGCTACAACAGAGTATAGATTGGCATGGCTGTCTCTCAGTATCGATACCCCATCCCTGAAATGACTGCGTAACATAAAACTGAAGGGGGGGGGAATCCCAAACCAAACTCCAACGCCCCTTTTATTTGGCACTCAAAGGCTACCCTAGATTACCAAGTGTGCTGACGGAGGAGTCCCATTGTATGCAATGGAGCTGAGCTCCAAGTGAGAATGACTGTAAGATGGCAGCCGTACAAGTTTAATAATCGCTCCCTTATTGGAATTAATGACACTTTCTGTTTTGGACTCCTGGCAGCAACCAAGCACTTAACAACAGTTACATGTTTTACGATCCGCTGTACATTTAATCAGCAAAGTGCTTTGGCGCACACGAACCCCCTTTAATTACAGGGCTGGAGCTTTTATTGAAATGAAAGCAATTGGAATGGGTTTGGGGCTCCTTCCTTTGAAGTTTCACCTCCCATCCTTTCTTCTGGAGCTCTCGGGAAGCAAAGAGGGCTCCTTTTCCTCCTGACTCTGGCCGGCCACCCCCAAAGGGGCTCCGGAACCCTCTTACCCGAAAACTCAAGGGTTCCCTGAGGCAGCCCAAGAGGGAAACCAGGAAGAGGGAGGGAAGGCTAGCCTAGGCTGAAACAGGGCTCCTGCTGCCGCCGCCGTCAGAGAGAGGGAGGGAGGGAGGGCGTGGGGATCACGTGACAGGAGAGGAAAACGCGGCAGCGAGGCAAGGGCAGTGTCAGAATAAAGGCAGAGTTGGGGCAAAGAGGCGGCCGGTCGCTGCGGGAGCAGGAGTAGCCGGGAAAGCTGGCAACTTTCCGGGGCTCCGACGGCTGATCGTGCGCGCGCGCGCCTTGAGGCTGGAAGGGAAGCAAAGCAGCAGGAGGTGAAACACGTCTCTCTCGCTCCTCAGCTGAAAGGGGGGGGGGCTCCCTTGGCCATGGATAAGTCCAGCTTCAAATTAATTTAGATCCCCGAAGGCGGAGAAGGAGGACGACGACGACGTGGCAGCCGGGTGTCAAGGGCGCGTTGGGCGGCTGGCAGCCATGCCCGGGTGG